CATAGCTAGAGCATTCAGAGATGGTCGTTCCGTTGAGCGTGAATGGGGCATCAGAAACCAATCCGTTTCTCATGAACATCGTCTTCGTTAGATTCAGCCGTAGACCGATTTTTCCACACGCGAATTCAGCCAGCATTCGTTCCGCTTGCTCGATGTTTGGTGTTATCAAAACGATGTCGTCAGCAAAGCGGAGATGGTAGTTGCCGACCGTCGATCTTCACTCCCATGTCTTCCCATTCCAGTTGACGCATGACGTTCTCGAGAGAGGCGCTGAAGAGCTTGGGCGAGATGGTGTCGCCCTGTCGGACCCCTCTCTTCACATCGATGATGATCTCCTTGTAGAATGGTGAGATCTTGGTCGTGAAGTTGCTGTAGAGCTCACGAAGAATCCTGATGTACTGAGTAGGAATACCCTGGTTGCCCAGGGCTTCGAATGGTGAGTCGTACCCTGTAGAAAGATAGGAGGAGAAGGGTTATCGCAGTGTACCCGAATCAGTGAACGTAGAGAGCTGTTGTTGTTGTGGTGCTATAGCTGTAGAGCGTGAAAGTTGGGTTCGCCCGGGCAAGTGGGCCGCCAAATGCCGACCAAGTTCATCGAAAACGCCGGCCAAGCTTCTTCATTGTTGTATGATAATTGCCATAGTTTGGTGTTATAGTAAGGTGTTGTAAAGTTATGGCAGGTTGTTGCCATTGGTGGGTCCGACAGGGTCGGACCCATCCACAGGGATATGTGTACCCTTGAGGGTCCCCTACAACCTACCATGGGCAAAGGCCCTGGCAATTTCTCCGGAAAGCGGATGCTATACTGTGCGGGAAAGCAGTATAGTTCCTGGGAAGAGCCATAAGAAGAGAGGTGGCTACTGGTATGTCGCAGGGCTCGTTAATCACCGATTAATCGCAGGTGAAGGGCTGGAAGGGTGACCGCTCCTCGTGCTGCAACACCACCCATCTCTACCTTCGTAGGGAATTATAAATGAATGAATCGAATAAAAGAATCCAGGTGAGTTCCTTCTCGAAAATACGGCCCAAAGCGTCGCAGCCATGCCGGGCGATGAAATGAACCCATCCGCGCGTATTCACTCTACTGGTTATTTTCTCTCTGTATCAGCCACTATTGACAGAGAAAGACAGTCGGGAGGGCTCACGTCCCTGACACCGCCGCGACCAACTGCGACAATCAACTATGTCCGTATAATATACTCGCTATGAGAAAGTCTTAAAGACGTTAGTTTTCCTGTCTGTGTACGTGTGCTATGGTGCCACAAAGTTTTTTTTTTATGAAAAGAACCTCTGAACAGGAAGCGTATTGCAGACATAGATGGAACCATCTCCACAAGTCGATTGAACGCCAATACAATAGCGCTGAAACTTGATCCAAGCCAAGCACCTGGAAATTGCTTACTCATCCAATGCTTCTAACGCGAACCTCAGCGTAAATTTTGTAAACGGTTGCGAACTTCAATACCGCCCTCAATACATGTTTAGTAGATAACGGCAATTTCAGGCAGTTTATTTCACTCTATGCCCGAAGCAATATGAAGGTGAAGGTGCAGGTGGTATTGTGCAAGTAGCCCGGTTACCACGCGCGTTGCCTTGTGGTCGAATCTCACGCTCGGCCTTCTTACCTCCGGTGAAGGAAATGAATACCGATCTGTTTGTGAGGATAAAGAAAAACTGAAACACTGCATCGTCTAGCTCCCTCAAATCATTGTACAGGCCATATCGCATTCAAGACGCTGTTGAGATTCTGAATGGGAGTGGAATGCATATTTGCGGTGTGTTTATCTTATTATATGTGTTAACAATATCTTCTCCTATTCTTAGTTGTGTTTTCACTCTTCATCCTCAATATTGAATTTTATCAGCGGACGATCCGAGAAGGAGAGGATGCTCGTTATTGTCAGTAAAAAGAGCGTCGATTCCAAGGTTCCACAGCGAAAAACGCACTCAGCGGTACAGAAGGGCCAAAAGTGAGAGGGTGCAGATAATTAGCTCGGTTGGCAATGGTTGGGAGTGTGGCTGGCCATGCTGCAGCGCGCGCGGATCATGAAAACCGTGCCAGGGCACATCATCGGATTCCCCAACAGCGGGATCGAGCGTATTGGATCCGTTGAGATGCGGGCGTCTTAGAGGGGGCGCACCAAGCAGCGCAAAGGTGTCAGTAGCGCTACAAAAGAAATTAAAATGATCAACAAACAGTTAATAACTTGACACAAGTTTCGTAAGCACGTGGGTGCATGTATTACAGTACAACTTAAAGAAGTCCGCCGATAGGACCTTTTGAACTCTATGAAGACATCTGCTTCTGTGGACAGACATTACGTAGAAGGGTTCCATCTCAATCATTATTTACCCTTGAATCAATTGCAAACGCGACACACTTCAGCATTTTTTGAAGGACCTATAATTACAATGTAAAAATACGTGAACTTACTCCAACCCACATGTCCGAAGATCAGGCTGAACTTGGGACTGCTGCAGTACACTATGCCTTCCTAAAACATGAATATTCAACAACTCCTTTTGACAAAGCAGACACTGAAATATTCGAATTGAATGCTCACATATTGGATATAGGCAACCAGATATGAGCTTACGACTAGGCACAAAATGTCGATAAATCCATTAAAAAACATCAATTTGTAACATGGAATTTTCAGAAGATTCCCACGTACCAATGCGATCATCACAAGTAGACAAACTGTCTAAAATAGTACTCGTTTATGTATAGCTTTCATTTCTATGGATCCTGATTTCAGGTATGACGCTCTGTTTTATATCTATACTAAAATTTGCTCACCAGATAAACTGTGCCTGTCACCAAGAAGTACGTGCCCTGGAGTACGTCAACAACACCTCTCCGCTTCCATTCATCGAGGCTCCTTCCACTACAGTTGTACTCTGTTTCGTTAGCTTTCCAAGGGAGGTTAAGGTAGAATACTTCCATCGATATTCTGGCTCTGGAATCAATGCTGTCAACAGTTGAGCATTTGGAGTGGTTGCACTGTTTCTTAAAAAAACGCCCATTCATCTGTATGAGAGGTGAGCGGGCACGCAGCTGCAGCAGCGTGCCACTTTACCCAGTCAGAAATCCTTGAAAACGGGATATGAG